CCACCCCCGCCCCTGTTCTCTATTTCCCTTGAAGCAAACTGAATCTAAAGATCTGAAGTTTTGCATTGGACTCGGGGATTCAAATTTTAATACAGATAAAACCTTCCTAAACAGTGCTATTCAAAATGTGAATCGCACACTAGTGTACCTCCTGCAACTGTTTGTTGTCGGTCCCAACGAGATAATTTCAGAAATGAAGGGTGTTTAGTAATTTCTGTAGCAATTTGACATCCATTTTTTTTTTGTTTACTGTAACAACTTGTTTAATAACCTTCCATAATAATATGATGTTTATTCATTTCTTAGGTGAAATGGGAGAAGTTTAGCATCTGCTGTTAGGTAATATCCTGAAATTTTGTGTAGGTGAGAGCGCTGACATCAATTTGTTAACAAGTTATGTATGGACCCTTCGGGTTTTGCAGAACTGACATGTAAATGGCATATGCATGAGCTACACATCAGTTGTGCAAATAGGAACAGGTTACCTGTGATATTTTAAGGTTGTTTTGCCAACTATAATCCAAAAGTGAAAAGTATATAAAATCCAACCCATTTCTTCCATTAGAAGAATTTAAATTTCCATCAAAAGATAATTTAAATTTAACTATCCTTTTACACAATAAACTAATAGAACTGTCTACAGATGGAGAACTGAAGATGGATTTTAAAAATAACACTTGCTTTATTTTGGCTATAAATCACAAATAAAAATCTTGAGCTTGCTGAAATTGCTTTAAAACCTCTTCTAGTGTCAACAAACCTCTGTGAGACTGATTTTCTACTGTGCTTTAAAAGCAAAACATAGAAACAGCTTAATAGACATTAGCCCCTGCAAGTAGCATTGTTGTCTATGCAATCCAGATCACATACGTTAACAAGAAGCTAGCTCATTATCACAATAAAGCTCTCATTCAAAGTGATCAACAGGGCCTTAATACCAGGAATTTTAGTCATAACCTTTTTGTTCAGATACAACTGCAGAATGACAAAAAGCTATCAGTCTAACAGTATTCTCCATGTATGAATCCTACATACATGCTTTCAAAGAAAAATATGCACATCTTATGTAATTATTTTCCTTTCCCCATGTTCATTCCCATTACATTTATTGAAATGTAATTTTATGTCTGTAGCTTCTAATACTTAAAATGTAGATGTTTGCTTTTTGTGTCTTTTTAAACAACTTTCTATTAATTATATTAATTTTACAAAAGTATTGGTCAGCAATACACTGGAAATAAAGAAAAACCTGATCCTTCCCACAGGCCGTTTGAAA